AAAGAAGCCAATGACATTTTTAGTTTTATATTGTCTATGCTTTTCACTAGTATATCCCTGTTGATTTGCTGATTTATTTGTGTCCTTTATTAACTGCCATTTTCTAAAATTTTTTTCAATAAAAAGATTTGAAAAAATGGAGTTTTTGATGGTTAGTTTTGATGGATGGAAGAACAGAGCAGCAAGTGTTAACAGTCTTACTCTACCGTAGGTTTCTTTCATGCTAGGCTGTTTTATTGGTCAGAGACCCCTAAGAACCTGTAGTGAGGAACTGGTAACTTTCCAGTGATAACAATGACATTCAGTACTTACTTTGTGTCAGGTGGTGTACAGGTATTAACTCAGTAATGCTCACAATGATCCTAAGAAGTAGTTGTTATTATTATTATTATTATTATCATCCCCATTTTATAGCCTGAGGGAAATGAGACACAAAAAGTTAGTGATAGAACTGGGATTTAAACCTGGGTAGTCTGGCTCCAAAATTGTGAACATCTTCTTTGCCAGTGTTTTCCTGTGGTAGAGAAGGACTCAGCACTTGCCTAGATCCTGTGAGCTATAAGGATATTGTCCCTCTGTCCTTACAAAAGTAAGTTCTCGCTGAACCTAGTTCCTAAAACCATATTCACTTTATAAAACATCATGCTTATCACGTTTTGCTCTTTGACTTGGGAATGTTGCCCCCTATCTAGTGTCACACCGAGGGGTGTGGAACAGCAACAGGTGGGAGTTTTATTCCTGTCCGGCTGGGTAAGTCATGTAATTCTCTGAGCTTCTAGGGCCCTCTACTCCCACAACCCTTTTTAGATGATAGTTCTATTCTGTAAGCTGTTCTGTCAGCTTTTGAAAGAGTGTAATTGGATAATTGTTTTTTCACAATGAATGAGTTAGAGTTACTGTTAGACACGGGGCGGTCCCAAGACTTGTGTTTGTAGAGAGGGAATAACCCTCTCCAAGATGATTTCTTGGAATCTTGCATACTTGGGTATACCTTTTTCTTTACATATATAAACATGTTATCTTCACTTTTTTTTTTAAACTTTTACTTTTTATTGAAGGAAATGAGAAAATTACAGAGACAATGCATGATGCTTGGAAGAATGGCAACTATTGGTTTGTCTCATAGCCAACCCCATCCTATATTCTATCATGTCAACATTAGATCCATTTAGAGATGAGTAACTATCTCAGAATTTTTTTGCAATGGGTCTTGGCTGCTGTAAGGGAGCTTGACCCTTTGGGGAGAGTTCCCTTTGACAGACTCTTGTAGAAACCATTGATGAGTATTGAATCATACTCTGCCTGGATTTGGTTTATAATGCTATTGAAGGTGACCCACTGAAGAATGAGAAACTGCTGGGAGGGGCAATCTGTCACAAGACCCCAGTATTCCACTTGGAAGACTACAGAGTGTCAAAACAAAGACACTCTTCTTCGGGGCCACAAACTAGAAATGAATTATTGCTGTTAATTCAACTGTCTGTCATGTAGATGCCCTCAGTGGGGGGCCGTCATTTGATGAGACCAACTGGGATCAAGCTGCTGCTGCTGGAGCCCGTACTACTCAGATTGCCACCATTGTTGCCTGGATCCATCATACCAGACATGGTATTACACCCACCATAGTAGCCTAGGCACAAAGTAAAACACTTATGTTTCTGATGCAGAGGCTACTGCTGCATGCCAAACTGTGACTCCTTTCAAAAGTCCTGTTTGTCTAGCCTTGAGTGAGACCACATAGCACAGGGCATGGCCGTCACCCACTCTTGGCTATTTTACTATATCAGACCTTTGGCTCCCTCTGGGGGTTATCAGTAGTACCTCACCACTGTTGACATGTTTTTCAGGTTAGTGTTGCTTTTCTAGTTCAGTCAACTCCAACCACACTATTTTGGTCTTCAAACTAATCTGTCTCATGTTTTTGGTTATCTTGACCACATGCAGTCAAACAGTGGTGCAACTGTTATTACAAAAGCCACTTAATGGTAGGCTGACAGTCCAGGTATTTGATGGACCTTTAACTCTTCCATCCAGAGGAATTTAGTATTGTTGACTGTTGGAACAGCCTATTTAAAAAATGTACTCAGAAGATTTCTGACCCTACCTCTCTAACCCCATCCTGGTCAATATTTAGTAAGGCAGTTTGGTCACTAAATATGGCTGTCCACTGAAAGCAATCACTTCCTCTTGACGGCTATATTAGAGTTCTCTGAAGAAACAGAACAAATAGGATATGTGTGTGCATATATAAAGAGCTGTATTATAAGGAATGGGCTCATGATTATGGAGTTGGAGAAGTCCCATGATCTGCTTCTGTAAGCTGGAGAACCAGGAGACCCAATGATATCATTCCAGTCTGAGTCAGAAGGCCTGCAAACCAGGAGTAAGTTCTAGTCCAGAAGCAGAAGACTGATGTCCTAGCTTGCAAACAGGCAGAGTGAATTCTACCTTACCCTGACTTTTGTTCTATTCTGGCCTCCAACAGATTGGATGAAAGCCCACCAACATCTCAGAGGGCAGTCTGCTTTACTGAGAGCACTGATTCAAATGGTAATCTCATCCGGAAATATTCTCAGACATATCCAGAATAATGCTTAACCAAATATTTGGGGGTCTCGTGTTCCAGTCAAGTTAAGACATAAAATTAATTATAGTTGCTTACTGAGTAATGATCAGAATGAGGGGTTGGGGAGTGTTGTATAGATTTATTTTGAAAATTCAGTATTCTGATGCCCTGACTGGTGCTGGGTATGTTTTCTTTGCCCTAACAGCATCTCCGGGCCAACCTGGTTGCCACACCCTTCAGGTGGCACCTTAGCCAAAGGAAGGCCTTAAGTATTCACATTTAATTCTGATTTAGCCACCTGGATTCTTTTGTTGGTTTGACATGGTCGTAGATATAACATTTGAAAAAAGAGTCATTCTTGCTTGGAGCCTTCCTCTCAGAGGAGAATGGCATAGTAAAACTCCCCCAAACTGTTGTAAGCTCCCTAAACTTGACTGATTGTTGGGTTTGCCATCCCCACTAGGTGACTCTGATCGCAATTTGATAGCCATTTCCTTTAATCTACTGAGAAGTCTATTGAAAAAATCAGTACTTTCAGCTCCTATACTTCCATGCAAAATATGTCACAACTTCCAGAACCTCCCACCTCCCTTGTAGCTATTAGTCATCCTATGGGGAGGACAAATGCCACCTTGGCTGGTTGTGTAGGCATGTCGGACAGATTGAACTAATTGCCATTAGGCAGTCTTTCCAAAATAAGGACTGGTTTCAATTATTCTAAGTGAACTGAGAGCTCTGAGGCCTACCAGGTGGCCATAAGGCCACATTAGGGACCGTCAACCTGTATTCCCTGAGAGATGTAGGTGCCATTTGGGAGGCCCCAACAATTGTAAACAGGGCATCATATATGCCCCCAGGATATCCCTGTGTGGAAGCCAGGCACAAACTTGCCTTTCTTCCTGAAAACATGGTGCCTTGCACCATAGGGAGGGTCTTAAGCAACTTTCAGGTGTTTAGGGAAGCATCACGAATAGACCAAGTAGTCATCAGATAACTGTGGAGATTGCTCCAAAACAAGGGTATCCTTGGGTAAAGAGGGAGCTTCCTGGAGGGGTACTGACTCATTTATGCACACTCTGCAGGAGGTTATCCCTGTCTTAAGGCTCATTCTACTAGAAACGTTGCTATGGAATTTGTCCCTGACTTTAGCTGAAGCCATCAGTGATACCACTTTAGCCCTGGAATACATTCAGGTGACCCTCAACTCACTAGCCAGTATGGTTATGGATGATAGAATTGTTCTCAACTTCCTTGTGGGCCAAGGTAATCTGGAATAGCCGATGTATCATGTGTACCAGAATTAATACCTAGGCCAAGTTGTTGTTTGTATTTCCAGCTGGTTTGGTCAAGATCCTTGGGTATAATAGAGGTCAAGTCTGCAGATTGATTTCATCCTGTTTCTTGGAGTTCAGTTGACAGTATCCTTAACTAAATGCTGTATGAGACCATTAGAATGGATTTGGTCCCCATTTTTGACAGATTAATCAGAGTGAGTGATGGTGGGGCATACTCAAAATTCATTAGAGGCCATCCATACAAAGTGCTGCGGAGGCTTGAATAGGAGTAACTATTTTAGCATGGGGGACTGAGGGGTCCTTATACAGGAAGTGAAACCTGTCTGATTTGCATCATGAAGTAGATCGTGAATAGGTCATGTGTGTCCATTTTACAGATGAAGAACCTGGGGCACAGAAATTTAATAACTTGCCGATGTCACTCAGCTAGGAAGTGGGAAGTCAGAATTGGAGCCAAGATCTCTTCGCTTCCAAATCTAGAGATTTCTACTAAACCTCATTGCCTCAAGCATAAGACTGAACCATCAGCTAAAGAAGAATTGAGAGAAATATGGCATTCGTTTTAGGTATTTTTCTAAAATTGGCTTGGTGGTCCACAGAGTTGGTTGTGAGTTTGGGGAAGTCTGGTGAAGAACCCTAGCATTTTGTATAGGCTCTTCTTTAAAAATGAAATATTTCAGACATAATAAGGTGTTTTTTAAATATATCTTTTTATTGACTTCAGAGAGGGGGAGAGAGAAACATCAATGATGAGAGAGAATCATCAATGGGCTGCCTCCTGCACACCCCGCATTGGGTGGGGATTGAGCCTGCAACCCAGGCATGTGCCCTGACGGGAATGGAACCCTTACCTCCTGGTTCATGGGTCGACACCAAACCACCAAGACACACTGGCTGGGCTTCAATTACTCATATAATGGACTCAGTTTTATTTTATTCAGTGAATTATAATCTAATACTATATATATAATTTACACACACATATAACATATAATTTTATTTTTTGAGTAGGGGTGGCCCAGTACTCTGGCGCTCTGGCCCTTTTTGTGGAGTCCCCTCTGAGCTCTGAGGTCCGGAACCTTTGCTTGCCTCTCAGGCTGCCCAGGGAAGTTTTAGGCGGTGATACCTACCAACCCACAGAGCGGGGATGGAAAGCTGAAGAGTGGTGGGGGCAGGAAATGGAAGGGTGGGGCGGAGCCCGGGAGCTGCGCAGCCTTTGGGAGACGTGGCAGCACTGAACTTGGCCCTGCGGGTAGGTGGTCGAAGAGGAAGGGTCAGGTTCTTCCCGCCCTGGCTGGGACTGGGCTGGGGACTGAAGGGAGGAGGGACGTCCGAGGCCGGGCAGCGAGGGGGCGGGGCCTCGGCGGCCCCGGTCCGAGGGGGCGGGGCTGAGTCCGGGCCTCTGCTAACCCGCGGTCCCAACGGCTGTGGCCTCTGCGGCCTCGCGCCCCCCCACTCCCCGCCCCCGCAGTGTCTGTTTCCCGGGCCCGTCCTCCTCCCGGCCGCTCGATGTCTCCGTCCCCCTCTCTGTTCACTTTTGGGCGTTTGTTTTCGTGTCCGCAGCCGCGCTTTCTCCTGCCTCCGTCTCCCCAGCCTCAGTCACCTCCCAGGCTCTGGTGCCCGAGACCCGAGGGCCTGCCTCCGCGCCCCCGCAGCCTGGAGAGAGCAGGGGAACCGAGGGCCGACGCAGGTGAGCGGGCCTGGGTGGCGGGGGCGGGGGGTTGGAGATGGGGGTGGGGGGGCCCGGGAAGTGGGGCCGAGTTCGCAGCACCATCTGGGCTTAGGAATCCAGTCCTGGGAGGAGAGTGAGTCGGCCACCCAGTCGCTGGCATCTCAGACTGGCCCGGGCTGTTCCTGGCTGGTTCTAGTTTTCCTTCCGCGGAAGCCACGCGGAAACCCGAGAATGCGCGCTTTCGGGAGGAAAGGAACCCGAGCGGGGAAACCCTGCTCAGGAGAGAGGGATCTGCGGCCGCAGAGAGCCCCGAGCGGGACTTGCCAGGGAAGGAAGACCCGGCCCGGGCCCAGGTTTTGCTGCTGATCACTGAGCGGCCTCAGCTTTTCCATCGGTGCCATGAGCAGAGTTTGGACTACACGCCGTGGTTCTCAACCTTCCTAAGGCCGCGCGCGACCCTTGAATACAGTTCCTCATGTTGTGACCCAACCATAAAATTATTTTCGTTGCTACTTCCTGTCATGTTGCTACTGTTATGAATCGTAATGTAAATATCTGATATGCAGGATGGTCTTAGGCGACCCCTGTGAAAGGGTCGTTCGACCGCCAAAGGGGTCGCGACCCACAGGTTGAGAACCGCTGGTACAGGATCTGCAGAAGCCTGACATAGGATGGGTGCTCCTTACCTACTCGTTTTTTAAGAGGGAATGAATGAGATAGGGAGGTCTCCTAGGCGTCACTGGAGGCTGACGGCTGCATTGGATTAGTTGGGCATCTGTGGAATTACATAGTTCCTACAGCCTGAGAAATAGGTGGTCTTACCTCCACTGCAAGTGAGGAAATAGGCCCAAAAGGAAAGCAATTTGCTACTAAGAATCAAAGCCAAGTGTCGCCTCAAAGTCCATGCTACACTTACCCTCTCTCCCAGTAAGAGGGTTTCATTGAAAGGTGTTCCTATGGAGCTGCAATTAATAATATGCGTCCTCTGCTGAAACGAACATCTCTGAAGTAGAACTGCATCAGATTCTTCTCTGCCTGTAGTTCCCAGCCTACAGTTTGTGTGAAATAGTTTGGGTGTCAATGCCAGAGCCACCATCTATGTTAACACTGTCATCAACAGGATCAGCCTAAATCACAAGAAAAACGAATGATAGTGGTGATACTTGCTGTAGTGATAGCAAAGCCATAAGTGAAATTGTGAGAACATCAAAATTTATAATAAAGACTTTTCTTTATGGTGCTTTAAAGTTTATAAAGCACTTTGCAGTGGTTCTTCGTATTGATCATCTTGGTAGGTATTATTATTTTTTTAATATATATGTATTTTATTGATTTTTATTTTTACAGAGAGGAAGGAAGAGGGAAAGAGAGTTAGAAACATAGATGAGAGAGACCATCCTGCATATCAGATATTTACATTACGATTCATAACAGTAGCAACATTACAGTTATGAAGTAGCAATGAAAATAATTTTATGGTTGGGTCACAACATGAGGAACTGTATTTAAAGGGCCAGAAGGTTGAGAACCACTGGTCTAGACTTTGGTTGAAACTGAGATCCTTGCATGAAGTCACATCCCTTGAAAATCTACACCTGATTGGGTGAATGGACTAGGAAAAAAATCGCTACTGATGCAGAGATGACAAAGAAGATTGCCTTTTATCCAATTTCAAAGAGAGGGAAAAAGGTGCCCCAAAGAATTCTTAAACAGGCATTTCTTGATAGGGATTTGGGTTTACATATATGTTACCCAAATGGCCTAAAAACTCCAAGCCAAGAAATTGGTATTAGAAGCCATCTGGGTTGGTAATATCCCTGGATGCTTGGCAGAGTATATGCAGAATCTCTGGAGAGACCCACATGGCACAGGCTATATAGAATTCCCACAGAGTCGGGGTGATGGATGTGTTAAACAAGACTGCGTATTGCTTGCTTTGTGCAGTTGGGACCATAATGTTATTTTTATATTAAGAAAAATAAACATCTCTGGCTCTCAGTGATCTCCAGAAATGGAATGATAGAACAGAACTTGTATACAAGCCAGCATTTGGATATGGATACACATTGAGCTGCCTCCTATTCTTGCAGAGGTCATGGAAGAAGTGACATCGTGCTCCTTCAACAACCCTCTGTTCCAGCAGGAAGACAAGGGAGGGGTCACCTACCGGATCCCAGCCCTGCTCTATATACCCCCCACCCACACCTTCCTGGCCTTTGCAGAGAAGCGCTCTACAAGCAGGGATGAGGACGCTCTCCACCTGGTGCTGAGGCGAGGGCTGAGGACGGGGCACTTTGTACAGGTGACCTCCCCGATCTGGGCCTGGGCCTCAGTTTCTCTCCACATTTGCTCTGTTCCTTTTCCCACCAGTGCAGGGACAACCCTGTGTAGGAGTTGAAGAGGAAAAGACCATAAAAGTAGTGCCTCTCACGGAGTACTTACTGTGTGCTAGGGGCACACTGATCCTCTCGGCCACTCCGTGACGTAGGAATTGTTGTCAGTCACATTTTACGGATGAGGAAACAGGCTCAGAGAGCTTGCCACATTGCTCAAGGTCACACAGCTACAATAAAGGAGTAGAAGCAGGCTTCAGACTTGACCTCTAACTCTAGAGGCCTCCGGGGTTCATATGTACTTTTCACTCACATTCTCTTTTATCTTTCTAAGTCACTGAAAAAAGTAGACATTGTTAGTCCAGGGTTGCTGATGAGGGATCCTGGTGCTCTGAGAGGTAGGTAGCTTGTTTAAGACCACAACTAGTGCTCGCTTCGGCAGCACATATACTAAAATTGGAACGATACAGAGAAGATTAGCATGGCCTCTGCGCAAGGATAACACGCAAATTCGTGAAGCGTTCCATATTTTTTTAGAAAAAAAAGAGAGAAAAAAGACCACAAGTAGCAGATAATGAATTAGAGGGTGTATGATAACAACAATCATTCTCTACTACTACTGTTCTTCTTACCTCATGCTTTATTCATTTTTATTCTCTGATTAACTCAGTTGTAGAATCTTGAAATTAGAGTCATAAGCCCAACTCCTTTTCCAGTATAGAAATCTGTATTCCATTGGTAGCTACTAATAGCTTAGTGGTTAAGAGCATGGCTTTGTAGTCAGGCAAGACCTACTATTTATTGGCTCTGTGACCAAGGATACTTGATTCTTTTCTGTTTCATCATCTGCAAAATGTGATTAATAATAGCAGTTGCATAGTAGGAACTCAACGTTAGTCATCTTCTATAAAGGTTCTGCTTACTCCTCAAGTAAGGAATTCATCCTGTGGCTGCTGTTAACTTTTTTTTGTAGGATGAGATGATCCACACTCCTCTATAATTACCCGTTGGTCTTGTTCTGCCTTCTGGGGTTCTGGGGTTGTCAGTCTATACATGATGCAGTCCCTTCTGTTGAGACTGCTCTTTGATATACCTGAAAGTGGGTGTTCATGCCGCTGAGTTTTCTATTTTGGGGACTCACAACTTGAGTTCTTTAGTGCCTTCTTAGGTCACAGTCTGGATTTGGTTTCTGGGCCCTTGAAAACTGATTACTCTGGGATGTTAGAGTCCTTTTTAAAAGAATGGTACTCAGAATTGAACTTAGGATCCCAAGAATAGAGCCACCCCACCAATGAGGTAGCTATCCCATCTTGTATCCTTTTCACGCATCCTAAGGTAAAGTAGCATTTATTTTTTGATCCTGCATAACACAGTTGACTAATAAATATTAAGTAGACGGTCAGCTAAAACTTACAAGTCCTTTTCACATTTGTTTTAAAAAAACACACATAACTTTTAATTTTAGTAAAATACACCTAACAAAATTTTCCATCTTAATCATTTTAAGTGTACATTATGGATTAACTGTATGCACATTATTGTGCAACAGATCTTTTTAAAACTTTGTCATTGTGCATGACAGCAGTTCTGTACACATTGAACAACCCATTCCCCCTGAGCCCCCCAGTCTCTCATAACCATTATACTACTTTGTTTCTATGAGTTTGATTATTTTAGGTATCTCATATGCAGTATTTGTCTTCCTATGATGGCTTATTCATTTAGAGCAGTGATTTTCAAAAATTCAAGCAGTGAATTTTTAAAGTATGCAATACCTGACTATTTAGTCAGGGGCACTGACCTCTTTTCCCATACATTGTCAAATTTAAAAAATGACAACAGCCAACCCAACACTAGTTGTCTGATGTGAATGAGTCAAAATTAAACCTGTTTTTTGTCAGATTAGCAAAAAATATATTTTTCTGTGTACTGCAGAATTTAGTAATTAGTTTATGTGTGCCATGGGATGAAAAAGGTTGAAAATCGCTGATTTAGAATAATATCCTCAAGGTTCAACTTGTAGCATATGGCAGGATTTCCCTCTTTGTAAAGACTAAATAATAGTTCATTGTATGTTTATCCATTCATTGGTTTATCCATTTTGTTTAATCCATTCTTCTGTTGATGGACACTTGGGTTGCTCCCACCTTTTGGCTATTGTGAATAACGCTCTATGAACATGGTGTGCAAATATATGTTTGAGACATTGCTTTCAATTCTTAGGATCTATACCTACAAGTAGAATTGCTGGGTCATATGGTAATTCTATTTTTAATTTATTGAAGTTCCTCCATATTGTTTTCCACATCAACAGTGCACAAGGCTTCCAGTTTCTCTATATCCTTGCCAACACTTATTTTGTGTGTGTTTTTTGGTAGTAGTCATCTTAATGGATATGAGGTGATATCTCATTGTTGTTTTTATTTGCACTTTCCTAATTATTAACAATATTTAGTATTTTTTCATAATGCTTGTTGGCTATTACATTTGTTGTTCTTTAATTATGTTTCTCCATCCAGACTTTTAAACCCAAGACTCATTTTACATTTCTGTCAAGCCTCAGCTTGTTTATATTCCATTGCTGCAGCTGGATGATATAATTTGGATTCTAGTGCTTTCATCTTTAGTTTACTATTTCTTCTAGCTTCATATAAACTTTATTTTAGACATATCTGGTCCAAATCATTTTCTCCTCTCAGCTACTAAGGATGGCTAAGCTTCTGACTTCCCAATGACTAGCTTGCCCAGTACAGTAATTTCCCCCACCCTCCTATTCCTAAAGGGAGTAGCAGTGCTGATGAATTTCTTATATCTGTCTCAAGGTTCTTGATCTGAGCAATATTAACTATTCAAATGACTGTGCAGCAGATGAGTTATTTTTCATTGGAAACACGTTCAGTGCTATTCATAAAGTGTTCGTGTCCACATGGTGCTGAAGAGACAGGGTCTCTATCTTCAGAGCGACAGTAGGGAATTAAATCTGCTCCCCAGGCCTGTTCTAGGCACTTGGGAAGGAGAGGAGCCTCTGGGCACTGTTTATATAGAGTATTGTTTCTATCCGAGAGCATTTCTATAATCCTTCCCTTCACTCCTCCCTTATATTCTCCCCACTCCTTCCCTTCTTCCCCCCCTTCCATTCCTCTCTCCCTTCTTTTCTTTCTCTGTCCTTTCCTCCTTTATTGAGCACCTACTATATACCAAGCATTAAGTCAAGGGGGATGTGCGGAGGGAGGCAAAAGTTGAAAGATTCAGGCCTCTCATTGTGAAGAATTTGCACAGTTGAATTGCATAGAGAAAGCAGAACTGTGCACAGATGTAACTGTCCAAAACTCCCATACACAATCCATGAAGTGTCACAAGGCAAGTCCACTCAGAGTGGGGTATTTCCTTAGAAGAAGGAGTACAAATGCATTTGAGGATTGGAGAAGTTATTGTGTGGCCACAGCATTAAAGCTGATTCTTGAAGTGGGTCAAAGGTGAGCAGAATCAAAGATTTCTCCCTGGATTCTCCACATGCAGATATGGTCTTTTCCTTCTCTGACACCCATGGTGCCTTTTCTCCTTTCTCTGATGGTATCTGTGATCCTGGAGTCTGCTCTGTGGGTGCCTTTCCCCTCCTCAAGGCAGGAAGGCTGCACCCTCCCACTGGTGGCCTCCTGGACCTTGATTCCCTGAGAATCACAGGGAACTGAGGTTCTGCCTCTAGGGGTTTACAATGCAGTCAGATATTGATGTGAACTTATGCATAGAAAGTTTCTAGAGAGTAACATGCCATTTGAGAGGATTTAGGAAGCAGGCTTCAATTAGTTAGCAATCTGGGAGAGCTTTGTAGAGGAAGGAGGGCTTGTGTCCAATAATTACATTGACTTTGGCACATATGTTTGAAGTGTTTACAGTGCACAAGGCACTTACTGTAGAATGGGTTGCTCCAGTACAGGGATAGTGAGTTCCCTGTCCTTAGTTGTTGGGGTCCAGCCTCAGCAGGTCCAGGGGTTCCCAAAGGTATGGACGGAGTCGGCGAAGAAGGAATGACACGGAGACTGCGTTCAGTTGATCAGCATAGTTGGGTTCTCTCTTTATTGTCCTGTTACATCTGTATTTATACCATTTGATCCTATAAGCATGCCTCTATCTATAAATCACATCATGGTATGTTTTGGGTAACGTTCTACAGTTCCTTGTTTCTTATCTGACCTTTGCCAAAAATCCTGTCTCTATCTAGTTCTGTTGATTTTAATCTTGTCTAAATTAATCTCTGTGTTCCATTACAAGGGCTATTCCAAGGTCACTGCTCTACTGATAGGCTACAAGGAAGTGACTGAAGGAGATTATTCTACCCAGTAAAGGTTATGTCCTCCCAGCCTCGCTGCTTGCCTTCCCTGGGACTGCCCTGTGTCAGTGGGTCTCCAGGGGTATAGGCTTTGGTGCTTTCCCTGGTGGGCAGACCCCTGGGGATGTGGGCCCAACAAGTCCCAAATTTATTGCCAACAGTCTTAGTCCAAGTTCTTCATAAGTAGTACATGGTATTTCTGTAACACTAGGGGGATTTACTGATTTATTCTCTTCCTTAGTCCTGTTAACCCCTAACCTGGGGAAACAACCTTTCTTGGGGAGGTGGTCCTGTTTAAAACACATAGCGCTAAGAAGGGGAGCAAACACATTAAGAACAGTATGCCAGGTCCCTTGAAACATAAGCTATGCAGATGTTTCTTCCCTGCAGCAACTGTGTCAAGCAGCAAGGGTGGACTGGCTTCCGGCACTTAGTCTAGTTCAGGGAGGGACTGAATGATCTTTAACCAGAAAACTTAGAAGAGAATCTTCTGTAGGACGGGTGTTAGCACTAGGTCCTTATAATTTTGAGAATCTGTGAACTGAGCTTTGCTTAATATTTTTTGCCATTCACATGGGAATTAAATTTTTAAAACTTAGTTTTTGTTTTGGCTAGTTAATTCATTTATATGACTGAAAAATAAAAACAATATAAAAAGGTATACATCCCATTCCTAGTCTTTTACCTCCTATAGCCAATCACTGTTGTTTCTTATGTATCTTTCTAGTGCTTCTTCATACAGAAACAAAGAAATACAAGTATATATCCTTAACTAGAAGCCTGGTGCACAAAATTCTTGCACTCAGGCGGGTCCCTCAGCCCGGCCTGCACCCTCTTGCAGTCCAGGAGCCCTCGGGGGCAGCAGGCCTAAGCTGGCAGTCAGACATCCTTAGTGCTGCCACCGAGGCAGGAGAGGCTTCCACCACCACCACTGCACTCACCAGCCATGAGCCCGGCTTCTGGCTGAGCAGTACTCCCCCTGTGGGAGCACACTGACCACCAGGGGGAAGACCCTGCATTGAGCATCTGTCCCCTGGTGGTCCGTGCGCATCATAGCGACTGGTCATTCCGCTGTCAGGCCGAAACCAGCTCTCCAACATCCCCCGAGGGATACTAGATTATGAGAGGGTGCAGGCCAGGCCAAGGGACCCCACCAATGCACGATAGGGGCCGGGGAGGGACACAAAAGGTTGACCAGCTGGAGAAGGGACCATGGGAGGGCTCCAGGGTGTGTCCAGTCCATCTTGCTCAGTCCCGATCGGCCGGACTCCAGCAGCAAGGTAACCTACCAGTAAGAGTGTCTGCCCCCTGGTGATCAGTGCAAATCATAGCGAGCAGTTGCCTTAGCATATCATTAGCATATTATGCTTTGATTGTTGAATGGTCGACCGGACACTTAGCATATTAGGCTTTTAATATAGAATATACTGACTTCCCAATGACTAGCAAACTTTTTTCCCCAACAACTTTTCTTATGCCTTTTAAAACATTTAAATGTGAAGTGATAACACACATATAGAAAACATAATACATAAGACAAAATATAAATGTCAGCTCTGAATTGATAGAGCCAAACCTCGTGAATTTACCATTCAAGGAAAAAAATAGGATGTTACCCTAGAACAGTGGTTCTCAAACTTGGCTGCACATTAGAATCACCTGGGAATCTTTTTAAAATCCTGATTTCTGGGCCTCATCCTCTGGAAGTTCTGTGTCTTTGTTACTAATGTTGTGGCCCCACCCCATAACAAAGAAACAGAATTTCTGGAGGATGAGGCCCAGAAATCAGGATTTTAAAAAGATTCCCAGGTGATTCTAATGTGCAGCCAAGGTTGAGAACCACTGCCCTAGAAGCTTCTTATGTCTCCTCTCTCCTTCCCAGAGGTAATTACTATCCTGATGTATAGCTCACGATTTTAGTTTTGCTTGTTTTTAATCATTTCTAAATTTTTAGTTTTTAAAATTACAGTTTACATGCAGTATTATTTTGTATTAGTTTCAGGTGTACAGCATAGTGTTTAGACAATCATATACTCGGTATATCCTTGATGTTTGGCTTCTTTAGTTCAATATTATATTCTTGAGGTTTATCTAAATTAGGTGTACAGCTGTGAGCTGTTCATTTTCATTGTTACATAGTGCTCTGGGCCAGATGTTAAGCTCCTCTTCCTGGCACTGGTGCTTCAGGCTAGAATGCCTAGCAGGAGTTGAGACCCCTTGTTCCTCAGGGGGTACCTTTGCAGCTGAGATATTCCTCCTGATTCGCAACCACCACATGTGGTTGCAGGGCCAGCCCTTTTTGTGTCTCCACCCTACCTACCAGTCTTGATGTGGCTTCTATAAATATTTGGTTATAAGACTTTAGCTATTCAGGTTGGTTATTCAGGTTGATTGTTCTATAATTTACTTGTAATTCTGGTTTGGTCCTGAGAGGAGGTTAGTGTTAATTCCACTTACTTCACCACCATCTTGTATCTCCCCCACAATGAGTAATATACATACTTAATTTGATGAGCAGATATATCTTAGGATAATTTCCCAAAATTGGGCATGCTTAGAAAGGCTAAATGCATGTGTAATTTTGATAGATCCTACATAAATGTTAAACCATGTTACACTCCAATTCATACTTGAGAGTGTCTGTTTCTTCACATTTTTTGCCAACAGAAAAGTATTGTTAAAGTTTATATGTTACCAGTTCATTAGATGAAAAATATTATCTTACCCGGCCAGAGTGGCTTAGTGGTTGAGTGTCAGCCTATGAACCAGGGGGTTGAGGTTCAATCCCTGGTCAAGCACATGCTGTGTTGCCAGCTCAATTCCTGGTGGGGTTGTGTAGAAGGCAGCCAGTTGATGATTCTTCTCTCATCATTGATGTCTCTCTCTCTCTATCTCCCTCTCTGAAATCAATAAAAGTATTTTTTAAATACTATCTTAATTTTAATTTGCTCTTCTTTATATGTGAGGTTGAACATATTTTCATTTTTTCTCTCTTTCTGTGAGTTGTCTGATCTTGCTCTTTGCCCATTTCTCTTTTGAACCTTTCTTATCTATTTCTAATATTGTTTTAAAAATATATTAAAGTGGTTAGACCTCTTTGTGATATGTCTGATTAGGCATTATCTCATTTTATCCTTGCAACAACAACTCTCTGAGCATGTTATTACATCCTCCATTTAACTGATCAAGAAACTGAAGCAAAGGAAGATTAAATAACTTGCCCCAGGTTGCATATGTGATGAAAGCAGGTGCCTCTGACTCCATGCTTGAGTTTTTAATGACAATGTTATGAATTGCCTCCCCAGGATAGTAGAGGAAGGAAAAAAATCTTTGTCTTAAATTTCCTTTTATATGCCTAAAATTTCCATGTTTGTCTGTCTTGCTTTGTGTTTCTTTTCTTCCTTCTTTTTCTTTTTTTTTGGAGGCGAGTCCTTTCTTTTTTTTTAAAAGTATTTATGTAGCTTCTATCATGTACTGAGCTCTGGAGATACAAAATTAGATTAATTGGTTTCTACTCTAAAAAGATTCATAGTTTAGGGAGGGAGCGAGTCACATAAAAATGTAATGTTATATAATAATTGCTATATGTCTTTTGTATATACAAAGAAAAAGCCTTTGGTATAAGACAGGAAGTGAGTTTTGATACCATTTATTTGAGCATCTAGACAAAGTGAGGAAGAATGTTTCGGACAGAGGGGATAGCATGAGAATTAAGTGAATAGTTGGGCCTTCACAATTTTATAGATTTTAATACCATTTACTTATTTTCTCTGAAAAGTTCCAATGCTTTTAATGAGCTTCATGTCTTCTTATTAGTCTCTCATTCCTGCTCTCTCTCCCTTCTTCTTGTCTAGTGGGGACCAGTAACACCACTGATGGAAGCCGTGTTACCTGGGCATCGGACCATGAACCCCTGTCCTGTATGGGAGCGAAACACTGGCTGTGTGTACCTGTTCTTCATTTGTGTGCAGGGCCATGTCACCGAGCGTCACCAGATTATGACAGGCAGGAATGCTGCTCGCCTCTGCTTCATCTGCAGTCGGGATTCTGGCTATTCATGGAGCAACGTGAGGGACCTGACTGAGGAGGTCATTGGCCCGGAAGTGAAGCGTTGGGCCACATTTGCTGTGGGCCCAGGTCATGGCATCCAGCTGCAGTCTGGGAGGCTCATCATCCCTGCATACACCTACTACATCCCTTACTGGTTCTTTTGCTTCCGGCTACCATGTAAAGCCAGGCCTCATTCCCTGATGATCTACAGTGATGACCTAGGGACCACATGGCACCATGGCAGGCTCATTAAGCCCATGGTGACAGTGGAGTGCGAAGTGGCAGAGGTGACTGGGAGGGCCGGCCATCCTGTGCTGTATTGCAGTGCCCGGACACCAAACAGATGCCGGGCAGAGGCTCTGAGCACTGACCATGGTGAATGTTTTCAGAGACCAGCCCTGAGCCAACAGCTCTGTGAGCCCCCTCGTGGCTGCCAAGGCAGTGTGGTGAGTTTCCGGCCCCTGGAGATTCCAAATGAATGCCAGGACTGTAATGGCAAAGATACTCCTACTGTTCAGCAGAGCCCTCTGCTGGGCAGTTCTGTGAGGCCAGAGCAGGAAGCTGGAGCACTGTCAGAATCATGGCTCTTGTACTCACACCCAACCAGTAAGAAACGGAGGGTTAACCTAGGCATCTACCTCAACCGGACCCCCTTGGAGGCTGCCTGCTGGTCCTCCCCCTGGATCTTGCACTGCGGGCCCTGTGGCTACTCCGATTTGGCTGCTGTGGAGGAGGGCTTGTTTGCGTGTTTGTTTGAGTGTGGGATCAGACGGGAGTGTGAGCAGATTGCCTTCCGCTTGTTCACAGACCAAGAGATCCTGAGCCACGTGGAAGGTGACTACACCAGCCCTGGTAGGAACTCTGACCCGATTCAAAACTAATTGGCTTAGGATCCAACTTTCCATAGAAGGGAAACCATTAGAAGGCAACCATAGCCAGGATCATGGAGGCCAGGATAGCAGAGCTTACGGAAGCCTACAGGGGATCCCAAAACGCAATATTCTGCTCCCTACCTTTTTCACCTCTCAAAGATAAAATGAAAAATTTGCCATAGCTACTGTAGCCGAAGTAGCACTGAACTGTGTGAATTGGGAGACCATGATATCTTGGGTCTGCCATGCTGGCTCTGGGACCTTGAACTCTCTGGGCCTCAGGTCTCCATCTGTAAAATGAGAGGATTGGTCTGTGATTTCTCTTCTTCCTGTCCCCAGGGAAGGCAGAGGGCCTGCTTGCTGCATGATCAGCAAGTCCTGGCTGCACAGAGGACTCTGGTATCAAAATGGAAATCATAGGACTCGTCTTTTCAAATGACTGAGGTTCCAAGCAGATGTCATGTCATGAAGAAGGATCTGGATGATTTGTTCAGTAATAGACGAGCTCTATAGGCTATCCAAGAGAAGTTGGGCAAAACAGAAACGAGGTCACCTACCTTCTTTAGCTTTGCAACTCTGCGCAACCTGCCCTTACGCATCCAGAAAGCATTATTTCCTAGGGAGAGAATGAGAGGCTCAATACCAGTAGCCCATATTGTTTCTGATGGCATTATTTCTATGAAATATAACCTGAAGTTCATTTATTAGGATGGTTCCTGATGAGAAAAAGACATGCCTTACGGCTTTAAAACATTGGACAAAACTTCCCACAGTCTCTGCCCTCAAGGAGCTCACAGTTTATGAGGCTAGAAGAGGGAGAAAAAATTTTAAAAAATGCAGTTTGTGGGATAGTAGATTTTGGGCTCTAAGTTGCATAACTGAAGCTCATCATCTTAGTTGCATCTTTATTGTTCCTGGAGTCATCTGCCCCAGGGCTTGTCCAGGCTGCTAGGTTTCCCCTAAGTTTGTTTTTCTTAGACTATTGTCCCGGCCCAGCCACTCTATTTGCCAGTGGAGAAACTCTTCACCCTTAGGAAGGTCTTGGACCCTCCAAACCGCTGAGTCTGGCCTGCTTGGACCTCCTGGAATCACTGTTTTCGAAGTGAGATGACCCTGGTCTAATAGTTTTGGGGCTGGGCTTTACTAATACTGGGTTCTCAGATGATACCAGATTGGTTGCTCTTATTTTAGGTTGTTTCCCCCGTAGCCTGTTACTTTGAGGGAAATCCTATCATGAGAGATTTCTTTTTTGTCCCTCTTAAATCGGTATATCAGCTAACTACAGGGTGGGACAAAAGTAGATTTACAGTTGTTCATATGGAAAATAATACAATAATTAATAAATAATAGTACAAGAATAAACTGTGTTTCATGTACTCAGAACTTTGTCCTACCCTGTATGTATGGCGCTAGGTAATGGCCCAGAGAGCAAGTCTTAGTGGTAGAGCATAGCCTAGGATGCACCCGTCAGATGCGGGAGGAGTCCTATGGGAGGAAAGTAGGGATTAACTTCACCTACTTCGGCATGTAGCTTAAGCCAGTGTCTTAGGGTGGCCTGTCATACCTTCGTCATTATCTTCTCAGTAGTCAGCTATGATCATTCACTCATCTATACATTTATGTAGCTATTTCTTGAGTGCCTGTGCATAATAATGTAAGGTGCTTTCTGTTGCCATTTCCTGGTTGAAAATAATTTGTGGCTCCTCATTGCCTATTAAAGGCAACAATTAGCCTGGCATGTAGGATGAAATAATGACTACTTATCTCTACTACTTTATGTGAAGGCCACTGTCAAGCCCATTGTCAGGTTGGCACGTGGAGGCAGGTGGGGTGAGGTGGACAGAGTGGTGGTGTAGGGGGAGGATTGAAAGGGCATCCCCCTCCTGAGTTCTTGTTCAGCAAAGCTTTCCAGGGCACTGCACTCTAACTGGATAGAAATAGGCAAGATGGCTAAGCTCTACATCAGGGCTAAAGGGTGGAGAGAATGAGAATATCAGGACTTCTTTGGGACTATCCAAGAAGGGAGGGACGTCAGTCTCATGCCAGTGTGTAAAGACTTATCCAGCTCTAAATTGCCCTGCCCTTTCTCCTTCTGCTTTGCCTCATGTTTACTTCTCCTTAGAGAGAAATTCCCTTAATAGGCAGTGAATTTCCTTAATAGGCAAAGGGCCTATGTGCACATTTTGGGAGTAGCAAGAAAAGAGGTTTGGGGACAGGCATAATCCAGAATGAGGATTATCGAGAGGAACAGATGGGTGATGGCAGCTGTGAAGAAAAAGAATAGCAGGTAGAAGTCCTGGCACTTGGAGATAGAAAGGACAGACATGAGGCCTAAGCTGGAGAGATGGTGTAGGTGGTAGTGCTGTGAAGAAGAAATGATAACTGGCTGGAGCTGTTCAGACAAAGGACTGCACAGGCAGCAGGAAAATTCCTCCCAGCCCTGTAATTTTAAGCTGGCTCTACTTGATCAACAAACACCACCATAGGCACTCAACTCTGTGCCAATTACCCAGGTCTTCAGGGCCCTAGGACCGACACGTGATGCTGGTATCCTAACTAAGCCCACTTCAGCCACTTTCAGGTTGGTAGAATGAAAAGATAGGGCAGGTGATGGCAGCTGTGAAGAAAAGAGGAAAGACTGAAGGTCTCTGATATAGAGACATGAAGAAAGGACTGCATAAGTTGTGGTCCTTTGCTCCCAGATGCCCCATCCTGTCCTTGAACCCGTAGTAAGTATCCATCTAGCAAAGGTGGCCCCCCACGGGAAGTGCAAGAAAGCGCCGGTAGTGAGTGGCCGCCTCCTGCTGGTATGTACCCTCGTTCAATCTGCTGGTCCTGCTCATGCTCCCTAACTCTTGGTTCCTCACTCCTAGGCTCCTAATATTTACCTCAGGCCTTTGTTATTTGGCCCTTGTTCTCTGGATCAGTTTTTCCTGGTCACCAGTCTCCCCGCAGATATCCACAAGGTAGCAGATATCCACAGGGTATCGTGTAACTACAGCCATAGGGAAGAGACCTTGCAGCCTGCCTGTGGGGTAGCCCGAGGGACCCACAGGCCACCCTGAGGCTGCACAGCCTCTGCCCCAGGACAGTGGGATTCAGTACTTCCACTTGGGCCAGATGAAATTGCTCAGGCTTCCTCAGGAGGCCGTGAATTTTCCCCACTGTGTTATTCAGTAGGTGTCGTGTCCTGTGCTGCCACAGTGCACAGTCTGAGCCTCCTTCGGTCCTTACCACAGGCTGCCCTGTGTTATTGTCTGCTGTGCCCTCTAGGCCTCTGCTAGGCTGTGAACTCCTTGAGGGCCAAGTCTGACTCCTCACTGTATCCTCTTTACTTTGAATCACAATGCCTTGTTCTATCATATGCTAGAACAAATGCTTTTTCTACCATATTTTGATTTCCCTGTTGAGGACTCTGAGTCCTCTCTGTGCTCTGCACCCAACACAGGGCCTGGTGCAGAATAGACAACAGAGAAGCTATGCTGAATTAATAAAGGAGTTAAAGACTCTTGGCCTTGGAAGCTAACTGAGAAGGGTAGGGTGAGTTCCCTCAGGGAGGAGCATGTCACATCCCTCTGGGTTCACAGCACTCAAAAGGTGCTGAACACTCACCCTACATGAGTCTCCCCTGTGCTGGCCTGCTTCCACATCGGTCACAGGATTTCCTGGGAATGAGCTTTTCTCTGGCTGCCTGGATATCCCAAGGATCATAGCCCAAGCCCCAAGCGAAGCCTTGACTTGGGGTTCTCATTTCACTGGTAACCCCCTCCCCCACCTAATTGGATTTTCTATAGCTACCGCTCCTCCAGGACTCAGAGGGAGATGCTGGGGCTCAGCATGTTCCTTGGTTCTGTGATACTAGGAGCCACAAATGCTCTCTGTACTATGAAAACCACCATGACTCTTTGAAACAAGGAAGATGAATAAAAAGTATAATTCTGGCGACTTCTGGTTTTGTTATTGTTAAGGAAACTGAGATCATAATCATTCTAATACTTATATCTTGTTTATACCCAGCTTTTTTTTTTTTTTGGATTCGAGGCATTTTCTTGCTTTTCATAAGAACTTTAACTTTCAGAAAACATTATCATAATAATCCTTTGCACTTTTACGTACTGTTACCTGAACATAGTTAGCAACTGAGGGCAGCAGGGCAGAGGTGACCATGGCTGGTTTGATTACACATTAGCTGTTAAGTGGAGGCGCCTGGGTGCGCAAAACCCCCTCTGGCACCAGCCTCAGTGCTTTGTCAGCCCACGTCTAATTTCTTTTTTTCAAAAATACCTTGAGATTACTCTCAACGTGCAGTTGGAGAGGCCACAAATATCTGCCTCAATGAAGTGGGGTGATAGCTTTTTGCTTGACTTTCTCTTTGTTACATTGGGGTGCTTAAGGCACTACTGATTCCGCCTCATTTCAGCATAACTACTCCAGTCCTGACACTAGGTCAACTGCCTTTAAAAAAAACCCCACAAATTGACTATTGAAAAAGTTTCAAATAGACATATCTTTTGTGGTACCACTGAGAGTCATATAATGATGAAAGAATGAAGTTGAGAGAACTGCGAATTTGCCTCTAAAAATAGTTTTACAATAATTCTAGAATCATATTTTAAAATCCAATGATCCTTTTTGTGTGTTTTGTTAGATTGCTTAATGTCTGAGGGACCTCTGGGTTTGAGAGGAATATGCACCACTACGTAAATTTTAGTGCTCCGTTTACTAAACTCATATTCAATATAACATTGACAATCTCTTGTGTATTTAAACAATAACATTTGATTAAACTGCCTTAAACATAAATACCAGTTACAAATTTAGTATAGCTGATCCTTTTGAACAATTCAAACACCCTACATAGTAGATAAAACATAAATACGTCCAATGCTTATAAAACACAAGCTTACATCAAAATGGAGCTGAAAGAGTTGATGCTATGGAGTTAACTCTGTTCCTTGTTATCCTTACGCCTTTCAGGACTTTTAGCTTTTAAACTCTTTAGAGTTTTGGTGTCTTTACCAGATTTCCCCCTCTACTCTCCCAGGGGTTTGGTAATAGCAGATCCAAAGGAAAGAGAACACCATTTCAGACAAGCGCTCTCCAAGGGCGCATTAAACGGGGAGGTTGGAGACCTGGAAGCAAAGACAGCCACCTTGTCCTTCTCGGTGGCGGAGATGCCTGTGTGCAGCAGAAGCCTGAAAGAATGGAGCCAGGCAGAAACAGCCCTTATGATATCCACTGGGGTCCTCCGAGTATGGGAAACTATAAACCCCAACCATTATTTAATGTTTATTTCTTAAGCTAGTTTGAGTTGGCTATATATAGAAAGAAGATACACATTTTTACAGAAGATTTGGTTAATTAGTACTACAATCTGTTAGTCATGATGTGGAGCAGCACAACAACCATGAGAGATTAACTTTTAATTCAGTCTACTGAAGTTTAATCAACTATTATCTAAAGCAGTGGTTCTCAACCTTCCTGATGCTGTGACCCTTTAATACAGTTCCTCATGTTGTGGTGACCCCCAACCATAAAATTATTTTCGTTGCTACTTCATAACTGTAATTTTGCTACTGTTATGAATCGTAATGTAAATATCTGATATGCAGGATGTATTTTCATTGTTACAAATTGAACATAATTAAAGCATAGTGATTAATCACAAAAACAATATGTAATTATATATGTGTTTTCCGATGGTCTTAGGCGACCCCTGTGAAAGGGTCATTCGACCCCCAAAGGGGTCGCGACCCACAGGTTGAGAACCGCTGATCGAAAGGCTACATTAACAGGAGAGACATTGGGATCAAATGGAGAAAGGACTGGCCTAGGAGGAGTCAGGAGTCCAGGGTCCTTTTCCTAGAGCAGTGATGGCGAACCTATGACACACGTGTCAGAGGTGACACGCGAATTCATTTTTTTGGTTGATTTTTCTTTGTTAAATGGCATTTAAATATATAAAATAAATATCAAAAATATAAGTCTTTGTTTTACTATGGTTGCAAATATCAAAAAATTTCTATATGTGACATGGCACCAGAGTTAAGTTAGGGTTTTTCAAAATGCTGACACGCCGAGCTCAAAAGATTCGCCATCACTGTCCTAGAGCTTGCCACCGGTACGATGGGCGACTTTGTGCCAGTGACTGGTCATCTCTGGGAGCCCATTTATTCAGCTATCGCAGGAGCATGATCCTTGCCCTGCCCCTCAACAGGGAGTGGTGTGGATTTGATGAGCTAGTGAGTTCTCAAAGGGTTTAGGAAACAGTGCAGTGTAATGTAGATAGCAGATAAATGACCTTTCACCCATTCAACTCCATTCATTATCCATCAGCATTGGCAACATTTGACAGTTGAATGCTGAAAATAAGGATGATGGGTAGAAAGGAGAACAGGAAGAAAGAGCCCCCTGAGGAGGGCAGTCCACATCTGGAAAGCCACCTCGCCTCACCTCCATCATGTCCTTAGCAAACTGCAGGCCTTATGATCTTGTGCAGTCTTCTGACTTTGCCCCATACCTTTTACTCCCTTACTGTAAGGAACGACCCATCTATTCCCTGGGTACAAAGGAAGGGAATTTTAGCCCCAAGTATGAAGGGACTTGGTCTGAGTCATCTGTTCTCTGTGCCCACCATAGAGCCACGTATACATAGCAGAGTATAGGAAAGAAGACTGCAAGGGGAGTAACATTTTATTATTATTTTTTTAATTTATTTTTTAAAATATATTTTTATTGATTTCAGAGAGA